CAGTCGGGTTTCGATCCTAGCTAGAGGCAACCGGACGTCTAGCCATACTGATGAGCTGTGATACAGCGAAACAGTCTGTCTGTGGATGACAGTATATATGCTCCTGAAAAAATTATTTCGATTGAGGTCTCTGGGGAGTGTGGGTTTGTAAACAGTGACTATTACGGCTAATAATGCAAGACTCTTCGGGAAATCTAATCGAGTTCTCTCAGTCACTGTGTGTTACCTAAAAATAAATACTCTTAAATTCACCGTCATCCCTGCCGTACGCCAACGGCTCCGCAGTAGAATCCCCCGACTAACACCTATTCAGTAGTGTTTCGATTCTAGCAAGACGCAGCCGGACGTCTCGTCACACTGATATAAAGAGAAAAGCAAGAAACGTTTCTGATCATAATTCCTATGACCAACGAATGTGTATAAATGATTTTTTTTGAATGAAATATCGTTTCATAGAAGATAAAACTTTCCTGGGGACAAGTAAAAATTACTTACCTGTTATGTCAAGCAGTGTTCGTTGAGAGTGTCGGTCTTTCCGCGTTTTGAACCCTAAGAGGGAAAAGACGAACATTCAGTTTGGTCTCTTTTTTGTCTCGTCTTAACTGAAGAAGAAATGACGTAGGGCCTTTCTGATTGGTCATTTATCATTTCAAGATAAGCAGTGGCAGTTATTTAATATTCCCGTTGTTGTATGCTTGATAGATTTTTACTTCAGGATCGGTAGAATATCTTAGGTGAATAGGTATAATGTTGAACATCACTGATGAGACGATCCTGAGCACCCATTGAGTGTATTCATAACATATATATATATATATATATATATATATATATATATATATATATATATATATATATATATATATACTACAAATAAGGCGATAATGGCAGTAAGACGCAAGGACTTTATGAGAGCGAAAGAAAATGAAAAACTTTAGTGAGAAAAGTAGGACAATAAAATAACAGGACCCAACGACACAGAAGTTTTGATTATATATATATATATATATATATAATTATTATTATTATAAAAGATAATAACAAAAGTATATTGAAGTCGCTACACAAAAGCTTTCATGTTTCAATACTTTGATTGTACTTCTTCAGCAAATTTTTAAGTAAATGTAAAATGATTTTTACCTCTTTTTCGGAAGTTAAAGGGAAAGAACATAAGGTCAGAATTAAAATTAAATTGGGTATGTCTTGATTAACCAATTAAATGTCAGATCTACGCTAAATAAAAATAAATATATGTTCAGAGGGTGGTGGTGTATGAGTTATTTTTTCATGACATGATAAACTGAAACATAGGACCTCATTGGGGATTTGCAGAAAATATGGCAGCGACAAATGTATCGTGAATTGTAGACAAATATGACGTTCATTTTTTTTTTAGAAAGGGCGTTTTTAAATATTTTTATATTCAGGAAGCTTCTTAAAGGAGCCTGTAGATAAATTAAAAATGTGGAATATCTGTATAAGATATTAATAATACTAACTGCACGGCAATACATAGCAAAATTAAAGCTGAATAAACAGAAAAGTTACTTAGCCGTAGAGGGTGGACCATTATATACTCATAAATTATGACTTAAATTTTAACTACATTTTAAGGTAAAAGATAAACTGTGACGGCAATTTACTGTTAATTCACTCCTCTGGTTCAATAGAGCTTTTTTGTCAGCAACTTTTATTATCTTTATTTTTTTATGTAAACATAAGAAATACGATTCATTTAAAGATTTACAAGTTCTTTTTTTTAATATTTTCCATTTTACCGTAGGGTTTTATTTACTTCTTTTAAGTTCCAAAAATATTTAGAAAGGGACATCCTATTTCTGTAGGTATTGAAAAAAGATAATACATGTTGGTACCAACTAGTTTTAAAGGAATTCTCGATACTCCCGATATAAATTTTTTTTTTAACTGTTTGATTTTCTATAGTGGAAGTAGTTCTTAGGTAAACAAGAGAGTTTGTTTGATATATGTTTTGTAATGGACGTTCGTTAATATTTCTATAATTACATTTGTTAGTATTATTTGCATTTCCTTCTTTGGAATGGCAATTATTACTTTATTGATTTAAAATTTTATTATTATACTTTTTAATAATTTTTTTCAGGTTATCGGTACAGCTATAGATTAGTTTTAGTGTATTTCTATTAACATTCTTTCTAAGCGGATTATTTCTGAGGAAGTATTTCTCAATTAAATGGAGAAACTTCTGCCTTAACTTAGTACTGACCATTTGATTAAATGGAAGGGGTGTATCAAATAATTTTTGTATTTTTATTTTACTATTGCTGTTGTTATGTTTTATATATTTGATGTCAGAGTACTTTATTTACAGTATTCAGACTATTGTCCTCATCTTTGTCGCCATATTTATTACAACGTTTCGGCCGTTGTACGCTCCGGCATTCTTCAGGTGGTTGAAATGTCGAACTGAACCCTTTATTTCTCTCACTGGGGTAGACTGTTCTAGTTCCACGTGCCATGTTTAATGGATGTCAGTCATCAGTTACCTCCTGTTAATTTCCCTCTGAAAATTCTCCACTGCCTTAGCCGGGTATTGAACTCACACTCTTTGGGTCTTGTCACTGTCTGACTAACGCCTTTATCCACTATGCCATGTGTCCTTGAGGACACATGGCACTGTGTGTGAATTTCTGGATATTATAAATCTAATGTCTTCAGCAATTTTTTTTACCAGAGCTAAAATTGCAATTTTTGTTGTTATTATCGCTTTTCTCTGGCACTTTCTATTACTGGTTCCCATATTGTATTCATTTCTATGCTTGTTCGGCTCAGGAGATTTTTGTGGCCTAGCATATGTGATGATTCCTTAAGTTTAATATGGCAACAAAGATGAGGACAATAGTCCGAATAATATAAATAATGTACATAATACCTCATCTCAGAAATATAGTCAGAATACTTATAGCCACTATTTTCAAGACAGTGTTATAAAATTTACTATGCTTGTGAAAGACATCTTCACTGGAGTTATTGCTAATCCTGTATTCTATGGAAGTGGGTATGTGTTTGATTACGGATGAAAGATGGTTAGAATTTGGGAAGATATATATTAGATTGGTGTTTGTTTTCATGTAGAGTTGGAATATATTAACTAGGTCTAATGTAACATCGAGTAAATCTACTTTTTAAAAATTAGTGTTAATCCTAACTTTAAGGTTGAGAATTTAAATTCCCTATGCATTAATTTCCTCATTTTGTCAGCTTTATTTTTTGGGGAATTTTTCATCACCATAAGGCGATCATCTCTATATATTCCTATATTATCAATGTTAATATCTTGATGTACACTAAGATTATATAAGATAAATAAACGAACAAGGTCGGAAGACTCAGCAGAGTCTAAGGTCCCATGAAAATCTCGAATTGTTCTTAATCTACTGTTCTTTGTTATGGAAAAGAAACAGATCTTCTACAGTTCATAATAATGTTAATTTCTTCATTGGAAAAATATATTGCTTTACTTTGTACTGAGCACCTTTTTTAAAGTAAATGCTACAAACAGTAGAATTTTTTCTCCACCTTTTCTTTCTCTCATTTTGTATATATATATATATATATATATATATATATATATATATATATATGTGTGTGTATATATATATATATATATATATATATATATATATATAGGCAACATATCGTTATTCAAAGACATTTCATAGAATAATATAGACATATTTATCTTTAACGTTTTTAAATCCATTTTATCAACATTTAATACAATTTTGAATTTTTACTATCTCTGGTTAGCTCCTTTATATTGTGCATGCTTCTTTACAAAAATACCATAGCTACAACAGATAAATTTAGAATTATATAATAATTATTTAACAGAGCGTGCTCAGGCGTGTTTTCAAACATCACCATCATAACGATCACAATAAGCATGATTTTGTAATCCAACCCTGGAGGAGATCGAAAGTACTTGGGTTAAAAAAAAAAACGACGGCCTCTTCCTTGATGAATTTCAACTTATAAAATAAATAGACATAATATGTCTATATTATTCAATGAAATATATATATATATATATATATATATATATATATATATATATATATATATATATATAAATATATCGGAGACAGAAAGTTTACACATATAGGCAGTGCCATTTTCTCACCTCAAGCAATAATCAAACCATATTCTGACGTTCACTTTAGGCGTGTATCTGACAGTCACGATACAATGTTGATGTCTATGTATAATTACACTAAATTCATATATATGCGTGTGTGTGTGTGTGCGTGTGTGTGTGCGCGCGCGTGTGCGCCTGCGTTTGTGTGTATAAGTATCTATGTACGCACATACACATTTACCTATTCCGTACGTATACATAGGTACACATATATGCATATCTACTTATATCTATGTTTGGCGTCATGTCTTCTATGCCTCAGTGCGCTTATTTTCCTAGAACCAATTTCTCTCGTCTTTGTCTGACAAGCTTTGTTCCTCCATTTTAATATGTCTCTTCAAGATGGCGGCGAAATTGGAAGACGGTAGAAGAGAACTAGCAGATAAATCATTCCAGTTGCGTATAGCGAATCGAGTTGGGAGAAAGTCAATATACATTTATTTGTTCCTAAATTCCTTTCTTCTTTTTTATTTATTTCTTTTTTTTTCATTTTTGTTTATCATTTTGTTTTTGTTTTTTTGGAAGGGTTTACTTCCATGACGTCATTTTTTTCTTATGGCCCTTGTTTTTTTGTATGTGTATGTGTGTTTTTTTTTGTTTTTTTTTTTGTATGTGCGTTTCGTTATCTGTTCGCATTCTTTATTCCATATTTCTATCTTTTTCAATATACTGATCTCATTGCCCATTGATTTATTCGGCACGTTTTTCTACCCTGTTTAAATTTCCTTCAATTATTTCTTTGTTTCTTTCATACTGAGTTTTGTCCTTCCAGACTTTCATTCATGCTTTTTTTTTCTTTACATTCTTCTGTTCTTTCTACTTCATGTCTTCATTTGTTCTTTTTCCATACCTTTGGTCAGAATCTCTTTCTTCCTTCATTTTTGCTTCTTTCCTTTTCTTTCAAACTTCATTCAGCATCTCTTTCCTTCTTTCTGAATTAAATTATTTTTTAATTAAATTATTTCTTCATATATCTGTCCTTCCTTCAGTTTTATCTCTATTTCTTTTTTCTTCAATATTTTGTTTATCAATTTTTTAATTCTTTCTTCTTTCATTCATTTATTCTTTCTTCTTTCATTCATTTATTCTTTCATTCTTTAATTCTTTTTCTTTCCTTCGTTTAATTTTTTAGCCTTTCCATCGTTTATTCTTTCTTCTTTCATTCGTTTATTCTTTCTTTCATTCGTTTATTCTTTGTTCTTTCATTCGTTTATTCTTTGTTCTTTCATTCTTTAATACTTTCTTCTTTCATTCTTTAATTCTTTTTTCTTTCCTTCGTTTAATTTTTTAGCCTTTCCATCGTTTATTCTTTCTTCTTTCATTCGTTTATTCTTTCTTTCATTCGTTTATTCTTTGTTCTTTCATTCGTTTATTCTTTGTTCTTTCATTCGTTTACACTTTCTTCTTTCATTCTTTAATTCTTTTTTCTTTCCTTCGTTTAATTTTTTAGCCTTTCCATCGTTTATTCTTTCTTCTTTCATTCGTTTATTCTTTCTTTCATTCGTTTATTCTTTGTTCTTTCATTCGTTTATTCTTTGTTCTTTCATTCTTTAACACTTTCTTCTTTCATTCTTTAATTCTTTTTTCTTTCCTTCGTTTAATTTTTTCGTTTTTCCATTTTTTATTCTTTTTTCTTTCATTCGTTTTTCTTTTTTCTTTCCAACGTTTATTCTTCCTTTTTTCCTTCGTTTAATTTTTTCTCAATATCTTTGTTTATATCATTTTTTATTCGTTTTCTCCTTCTCAGATTCTGTTTATATTTCTTTCATTAGTTTTCTTTTTTTTTTTCAATAACTTTCTTTGATCCTTTCTTCCTTCTTTCTTTTCTTCGAGTCACTTCTTGTTTTTCTTTTTCATTTTCTTTCGTCATGTCTTTCTTCTTTTATTCCTCTTTAATTTTCATTGTTTTTCTTCCTTCGTTTTTTCTTCGTTCTATTTTCTTCCCTCTTTTTTTCAACTTTTTTTCTATTTTTTCCTTTCATTCCATTCAGAACTTTTATTTTTATTATTTTATCTTTTCTTTCCTTCATTTCGTTTTCCTTTTTTCTTTTTTTCATTCATTATCTTATTTCTTTTGCTTCCTCAGTCATTCACCCGACCAATTTTCCCACCCGTTTTATTTGTTTTATATATATATATATATATATATATATATATATATATATATATATATATATATATATATATATTCCACTGTTACAATCTCTCCTCCATTTCAACATTTAATAATTTATTTATATTAATTGTTTCGTTTCTTGTCTTTTTTGTTTTGTTTCTTTTTTTTAATCCGACACTCCCACAACATTTCGATCTTTGTGGTCCTATTTGTCTCTTTCCTTCTCTCTTAAGCGATTTTTGACGACTCTATCATTCCACACATCAATTTGTCAATCTAGAAGTTAATCGAAATATCTAATTTGTTAATCTACCTATATTCTGTGATAATTATCTGTCTGCTCGCAAGCAACAGAAAACAAGCTTGCTGGAATTTTCATTAAAGTTGTCATATATTTATCTTAATAACATCTTTGACAGTTTTTTTTTTATTCTTTTTGTCCTTTCATCGTAGACTTTTGACTCAATATATTCATCCAGAGTTCTTTAAAAAAAATCCTACTCTTTCTGTAAAGATAATCTTTGATATTGGATTAAAAACAAAAATTATCGTCAGGTTTATTTTTTATTCTTTTGAACTACTTTCTTCCCTTATTCTGGACATTAAATTTTGACTTTTTCTCTATGTTCTTTTTGCTTTTCCAATCGTTTTTTCAAACTCACTTTCATTTTCTAGTCTTCACATTATCACCTGATGTTTTGTTTTGTTTTTTTATTGTTTCGTTTTTCATTTTGGTTTCCGACATTTCGATTTTTTATATCTTTCTGTCGTTATTATTTTGTCCTCCGAGTCATTTAATTTTCGGTCATTTTTGTCTCTTTTTGACGATCTTTTTAAAAATTCATTTTATTTCCATTGTTTTTTCTTCTTTTTCTCCTCCTCTTTCTTCTTTCTTCTCTTCACCATGTCGTTCTTTTTACCTAGCTTCGTTTCCTTATCGTCTGCTCTCTTCAATGTTTTTGCTAATTCTCTTGATTCAGTTCTTGTTTCCTTTCTGTCTTATCGTTACCACATCTGATTTCTTTTCAGCTTTTTTCAGAATAATTAGTCTATTCACTTTTCTGTTTCGTTCTGTGTCTCCCTTTCTCTCTCTTTTCCCTTTCCTCTCTTTTTTTCTTTCTTTCTTTTCATTCACCAATTCTTATTCTTATTCTTCTTCTTCACGTTTCATTTTCTTTTCTTCTGCTCAACCATTTTCTTTTACAGTTTGGGGTCCTTTCTTTTTGTCCATTTTTCCTCCCCGTCATCGTTTCTTCCTCTTACAGTCATCTGTTATTCTTTAGTTCAATTTTGGAACTCGTATTCTTACCTTCTATTTTATTTCATCTATCCTTATCTTATTTCATCTATCCTTCTTCCATAAGTTCATTTTGTTTTCTTTTTCAAAACTCATTCCTTTTCCGTCTCTTTTTCAACTTTTTTCCCCAAATCTGGCTTTATCTTATTTTTTTTCTTAGATTCTTCCTGTCCTTTTAACGTTTTTCTATTTATGTTTCCTTCAATATATTTTTCATCACTCGATCTTTATTTCTTTCTCTCTTTTTTTTCATTCGTTTATTTTTCTTTCTTGCTTAGTTTCTTTTTTACTATTTTCATTTCTTTTTTTTTTTTTGGTATTTTTTTTTCTTAGGTATTTTTTGCTTCAGGTTGATTTTTCTTTCTTCTTTTTTTTTCTTTCCTTGTTTCTTTCTTCCTTTATTTATTTATTTATTCATTTATTTATTTTCTCATAGGCATTCTCATAACCTCTGGTCTAATCTATCTTTCTCTTTATCGTTTTCCCTTTCTTTCTTTCTTTCTTTCTTTTATTTATTTATTTATATTCCCACATGCATTCTCATACTCTATTTTTATGCTCTCTATTTGATTATTTCTTTCTATTCCTTCCTTCCGTTCTTTCTTTTTTTTTCTTTCGTTTTTCGTTATAATTTCTTAATTTTTTCCATACACAATCTTATAATCACTTAATTTTTCTTTATTTATTTTTCCCGGTTTTCATTCCTTTCTTCCTTTCTTTCTTTCGTTCGTTCGTTCTTTGTTTTCATTCTTTCTTTTCTTCATACACCATTCTAAGCTCTCCCCTTTCTATCATTACATTGCTCTCTTTTCTTTTATTGTTTGAAATTATATTGCTATTTGCCTGCTTCTTCTTCTTCTTCTTCTTCTTCTTCTTCTTCTTCTTCTTCTTCTTCTTCTTCTTCTCCTCCTCCTCCTCCTCCTTCTTCTTCTTCTTCTTCTTCTTCTCCTCCTCCTCCTCCTCCTCCTTCTTCTTCTTCTTCTTCTTCTTCTTCTTCTTCTTCTTCTTCTTCTTCTTCTTCTTCTTCTCACTTTATTTCCCATTTTTTCTCACCTCCCCGTTTCCCGTTCCCTTTGTTATTCATTTCCCATTGGTCCTTATTTATCCCATAAGCCAATATCTTCCCGCTCTTCTAAACCTTCTCTCTGGCTCCCTTGCCGTCTTTCCTCGTCTATCTCCACCCACCTCCATCTCCATATTTACTTCCTCTTTTCGTCAAACACTTTTCTCCAAATGCTTGCCAATGTTTTTACTTCATTCTCTTTGCCTTTCACTCGTTCTTCTTCCACCACCAACCTCGTTCTACTTTTTCCCTTTTTTCTTATTCTTCTTCTTCTTCTTCTTCTTCTTCTTCTTTGACGCCATTTTTCAGAGTCCCCCTGTTGCCATTCCGTTCTTCCTGATTGCACTCAGCCAGCGGCCATATCTCCAATATCCAGTTCCGCAATCCGTGCGCGATTCTTTCACCGCCATTATAATAAATTTCTTCCTTCATTCGTTCTTTCATTCGTTCGTTCATTTCTTAATTCTTCGGGCAGAGATGAAAACCGACCTTTAATGATTCCAACTCACTCTGAAGACGTGCTTAACCATCTAGACACGGCGGATGCACATCGACACACAGTGACACATCCACGGACGCACAAACATTTGTATAAATGCAGACATAAGTATAGCAATGTGTCCGTAAAATAACGATTAAATAAACATTTTTCCCAAAATGCCTTTATTTTTCTGCATAATCTCCTTCGTGGACAACGCTCTCAATTAAATTGTGAATCTTAGTCACATAAATGTAGCATAATACAGTGAAAATTTCTGATCCAAGTTCAGCTAATAATTTGCCGATCAACAACCGTATATATGTATGTGCATGCTTATTTGTGTGTGCATTGTATAAGAAAGAGGGAGAGAGAGAGAAAGTGATATATGTATTTTAATATGCATGCGTATTTGCTCGAGTTTTACTTGTTAATTGTAAATAGATAGATAGATAGATAGATAGATAGATAGATAGAAAACAGACTGAGATAGATAGATAGATAGATAGATAGATAGATAGATAGATAGATAGATAGATAATGAACAAACTAATGTAGACAACGAAAGAGAGGGAGAAACATAAATAAAGACATAAACACATATGTTTATATATGTGTGTGTCTGTGTAAGAGAAAAAGAAAGATATATATATATTTTAATATGTATATGTATTCTTGCCAGTTTTATATCTTAATTGTAAATAGAAAGACAGCTATATAGATATATAGATACATACATACATACAAACATATATAACGAACAGGCTAATGTAGACAATGAAAGGGAGAAGCATAAAGAAAGACACACGCATACATGTGTGTGTGTGTGTGTGTGTGTGTGTGTGTGTGTGTGTGTGTGTGTGTGTGTGTGTGTGTGTGTGTGTTTCAGGATGGTATGTTCGTAGATACACAGCTCTGAGCTTGGTCAGGCATCTGGATATAATGGATGAAGCCCGAACCATAGATCAGCTCATGCTTACATACCTATATGCACGGTCGATAGCTAAAATGAGACATGTAATCTTTCAATTAGGGCCTTTGAGGATGAAGTCCTCTTCTATTGCTCCTAGTTACGAATTAAAGGACGACGCTACTCGCCAAATACGCTTTCTTGGGCAACTTATTTCTTCGGCTTTTGTGCTGTCTTCCTTCCGCGTCAATTCAAATTGCACACAGAGAACCCAACTAAGTAAAATAAAACCAGATAGATAGATAGATAGATAGATAGATAGATAGATAGATAGATAGATAGATGAATAGATAGGAAATTGATATAGGTATGAAAAAATTAAAAATAGATAATGAATGATAGATAGATAGATGATAGATAGATAGATGAAATAGATAGAAGACCAGAATAGATAGATAGATAGATAGATAGATAGATAGATAGATAGATGAATAGATAGATAGATAGGAAACTGATATAGGTATGAAAAAATTAAGATAGATAGATAGATAGATAGATAGATAGATAGATAGATAGATAGATAGATATGAGAGAAGACCAGAATAGATGAATAGATAGATAGATAGATAGATGATAGATAGATAGATAGATAGATAGATAGATGGGGAAACTGATATAGATGAATAGATGAAAATGATGATAGATAGATAGATGAATGGGAAATTGATATGGGTATGAAAAATTAAGATAATGAATGATAGATAGATGATAGATAGATAGATATGAGAAGACCAGAATAGATAGATAGATAGATAGATAGATGAATAGATAGATGATAGATAGATGAATGGGGAAACTGATATGGGTATGAAAAAATTAAGATAGATAGATAGATAGATAGATGAATGAATGTGGAAGACTAGAATAGATAGATAGATGGATAGATAGATAGATGGATGGATGGATGGATAGGAAACTGATAGAAAAATAGATAGATAGATATGAGAAGACCAGAATAGATAGATAGATAGATAGATAGATAGATAGATAGATAGATAAAGAACACTGAGATAGATGAGAACTGATTCATATTATCAGTTATTAGAGTGAAAGCAAGTGTTATTTCAGACCGACATATGCATACATATCGTAATACAATATACAATTTCACATATTATCATATATGTGTGCGTGTGTGCATACACGTATCTGAATATGTAGATTTCAATGTATTTATGTTCGCATTATTCTGCTGAAGAAACATAATTCAATCTGACCATAAGTGATTTCAGGTTTATAGAAGTGTAAAATTTCTGTTCACTGTCCTTGATGTAATTTCGTATCATTTCCTTACAAAAGGAATTGAGCAATATCTATTTTTTTAAACCTCACCCAGAAGGATTTCGAGAAACGAGACAGTTTTTCCAATATAGTCCCCCTTGCCATCAATGCATTTGGTCCAACGATGCTTAAAAAGGGTAATCCCATCACGGAAGAAGGTTGGTTTCTGGTCCTTCAAAAACTCCAACACAGCACATATATCATCATTGTTTCTAAAATGGCGACCGCGCACGTATGATTTGAGGGAGAGGTCAGATGGAGCTAAGTCTGGTGATTAAGGGAGATGACGGGGGGGGGTGCAAACAATTTATAGACACAGTTCTCTAATTCAGATACTGCATCCTGAGCAATGTGAACGGGTGCGCTATCGTTACCTCATCTGATTTCTTTTCAGCTTTTTTCAGAATAATTAATCTATTCACATTTCTTTTTTTTTTCTGTCTCCCTTTCTTTCTCTTTTCCCTTTCCTCTCTTTTTTTTTTCTTTTTTCTTTTTATTCACAAATTCTTATTCTTCTTCTTCTTCACGTTTCATTTTCTTTTCTTCTGCTCAACCATTTTCTTTTACAGTTTGGGGTCCTTTCTTTTTGTCCATTTTTCCTCCCGTCATCGTTTCTTCCTCTTTCAGTCATCTGTTATTCTTTAGTTCAATTTTGGAACTCGTATTCTTACCTTCTATTTTATTTCATCTATCCTTCTTCCATAAGTTCATTTTGTTTTCTTTTTCAAAACTCATTCCTTTTCCGTCTCTTTTTCAACTTTTTTCCCCAAATCTACCTTTATTTTATTTTAATTTTTTTTCTTAGATTCTTCCTGTCCTTGTAACGTTTTTCTATTTATGTTTCCTTCAATATATTTTTCATCACTCGATCTTTATTTCTTTCTCTCTTTTTTTTCATTCGTTTATTTTTCTTTCTTGCTTAGTTTCTTTTTTACTATTTTTATTTCTTTTTTTTTCGGTATTTATTTTTTCTTAGGTATTTTTTGCTTCAGGTTGATTTTTCTTTCTTTTCTTTCCTTTTTTTTTTTTTTTTTTTCCTTTCCTTCTTTCTTTCTTCCTTTATTTATTATGTGAACGGGTGCGTTATCCTGGAGCAAGAGGACACACCCGCCCTCAAATTCTCTCTGTCTTTCGACTTGACTGCTTGTCTTAATTCTGATGCATAGTACAGTCGATAGTTTTTCAGAAAAATAATTACGCCATCACCTTGCTGCCTGCTTTAACTTCTTTGGGGGTGTGTTTCCACTTTGAATCTTTGATTTAGGTTTGAAGTGGAGAAACCAGGTTTCATCTTGAGTTACTAATCGGCGGTGGAAATTATCACGGTCAGCCTGGAAGCAACTCAGAAGTGTCCTGGAAATGTTAACGCTTTTCACCTTCAGCTCTGGTGTCAGCATTCATAGGAGTTATCTTGCAGATCCCCAAGGTCTTAGTTGAAACAGTATGGACCGAAACAGTATGGACTTAGTTATCTGCTGGACAATAAGCCATCTGTCATCCCAAACCATACGGTGAAGGCCATCAACTTGTTCATCAGTGGTTGAGGTTTTTGGATAACCTGACCGAAGCTCATCTGTGCTGTTCCTACCGTGCTTGAATTCTGCATCCCACTTCTTCGCAGTTGCATAGGAAGATCAGTCCTAAGCAAGTGTATGTTCGATGTCCTCATGAATTTTCTTGAGGGCCATACCTTTCTGTGGCAGATACTATATGACTGCTCGGCTCACTGTTTTGTCCATTTTTCGATTTGTCACACACTGCTCACCTTTCTATGGGCCTCGCCTGCACAGAAAGGAAGACAGAAATCTGAATTAGTTTTTTCTAGCTTTATAAGAATTGGTAGTGTGTTGCCACAACAAAATGTTCAGCTATGGCTCTTCATTCTGGTGAGGCTTAGAGCTTTTTGAACGAACCTCGTATATTTTGTTCTGACCCAGCGATAATCATTTTTAAATTCTCTTATCACTGACATGTCACAGGAGCAGAAAGTAAATTGCTTCTTTGCTTTCGAATCACCAGTGTAGGGATGTTATACGTACAGGGTTTTCATGTGGGGTGCCAACAAACGTACACGTGGGAAAAAAAACTATTACGAAGTCTTCGTGACCAGGTGTCAGGATAATCCTACTTGGCCACTATTGGCATACTATAGAAGGTACTATTGTACACACACACACGCACGCACACACACACACACACACACACACACATATATATATATATATATATAATTATTTTTTTAAATATGATTCCATCGCTACACAGGAATTACCATGTTTCAAAAACAGAAACCAAAAACTTCCAATTCAATTATAGGAATTAAATTAAATTAAAGTACCTAATTCTGTTTCATTTTCAAGCGAATTTTGGAATTAATTATTTTGAAATTTACAGAGCTTTATAAGCACATACATTCATAATAAGAGGTTAAGTCGAGGTAGGGTCGGGGTGCCTTTTTTCAAACGAATGATGACATCCGTTCAACGCATGCTGTCTGGTCTTTTTCAAGGACAGAAAACCTCTTTTCGAAAGTAACTAATATGTTGATACAATAGTTGTCAGTGAAAATGAATACCATACCATCCCTTATTATTTTGAGTGGTTTTCTCCATATCCATAGAAATTAATATTATTCTACATTCAACACCATCACTTGATAAGACACCACAAGTGTTGAAACAAAATAGCTTTTTCGTAGTGATTTTATAACATGTTTATGTTATAATTTTCGAATAAATTATATTTGCTTTACGCTGTATTGAGCACTCTTTTAAGGATAGTATTTCTGATTATTGGAATTTTTTCCAAATACATCAATCCTATACTTGTATATATACATATATATATATATATATATATATATATATATATATATATATATATATATATATATTGAACATTAAAAATATTTAAAATTAAAATTTAATATAAAAAATTAAAATCTTCAGACGCAATTTTTTGTATACTAATATTCTTTCGTTTTATTATTATTTCATTTAGATTTCTCGACTAGTTTCCACCAACATGGCTATTATATATATATAAAATATATATATATATATATATATATATAGTAATATATATATATATATATATATATATAAATATATATATATATATACATATATAGTAATGCGTATATAGTAATATATATATATATATATATATATATATATATATATATCGTAATACCTTGTACATTATATATTCAAATGCAATGAGAACGAATCAAATTCAAATTCAAACGTTCTAACATTAATTTAAAACAAAAATCTATACAAAAGTAAAGATTGAATTCTTTCTGTCTCTCTCTCTCTCTCTCTCTCTCTCTCTATATATATATATATATATATATATATATATATATATATATATATATATATATATATTCATATTTGCAGGGGAAGAGATGTTTTTATAAGCATTATTAAAAATTGTTATAACCATCATTTTCACCACCTCCTGACGAGATGGTACGTTGCATTAAAACATTAATGCATTTTGATAGCGGTAATATGTGTTCGAATGTAATAACCAATAATAATATATATATATATATATATATATATGTGTGTGTGTGTGTGTGTGTGTGTGTGTGTGTGTGTGTGTGTGTGTGTGTGTGTGTGTGTGTGGTAGTGAATGGGATTCAGATAGAGATCAAATATGGATCGGAATCCAACAGAATTATAGGATAATGAGCAAATATAAAACGTTTATTAATGCAGCAAGTTTTACATGTTTCAGAAAATGAGCTATGAAGAAACAAAGAAAGAAACAAACAAACAAATACTGGAAGAAAGAGTATAGGGATTCAGATAGGAAAATCAAGAAGAAAGAAAGAAAGAAAGAAAGAAAGAAAGAAAGAAAGAAAGAAAGAAAGAAGAAGAAGAAGAAGAAGAAAAAAGAGATATTGGAAGTAAAATAAAAACAACAAAGAAAAACGAATGAATAAACCAATGAGTATAGGAATTCATATAGAAAAATCAAGAAGAAAGAAAGAAAGTAAAAGAAAGAAGAAAGGAAGATATATTGGAAGTAAATTAAAACAACAAAAAAAGGAAATAATAAACCAATGAGTATAGGGATTTATATAGGAAAATCAAGAAGAAAGAAAGAAAAAAGAAAGAAAGAAAGAAAGAAAGAAAGAAGGAAAGAAAGAAAGGAAAAATAAAGAAAGAAAGAATGAATGAAAGAAAAAGAAGAAAAAAGAAGAAAGAAAGAGATATTGGAAGAAAATAAAAACAACAAAGAAAAAATAATAAAACAATGAGTTTAGTGATTCATACAGGAAAATCAAGAAGAAAAAAAGAAAGAAAGAAAGAAAGAAAGAAAAAAAAGAGATACTGGAAGAAAATGAAAACAATAAAGAGAAAAGTAATAATAAACCAAGGAAAATGCCCAACCAAATTTTGGAGACTAGAAGGCGTCACCCTGGACTCTTGTCATGCGATCAGGAGAGTGAATAAGCATCTCTGGTTGACCATGACAATTTTCACTAAAAGCCAAATCATAGTGCAACTCACGCTCAAAACTGGAGGCCTATCTCAAATCTCGTCGCTTTACTGGGGGAAAAAGATTTGTAATTTCTGTTTGGGTTTGCAGTAGTTCACTATTGTAGTTGGCTTAAGAAATTCAAAGAAAAAATAGTCGAGATGAAGGGCAGAACTAATTTAGCTCGGAAAGTTATTTCTCTTTATTTTGGCTCTTATTACAATTAATAGAATTGACATATGATTTGCCGGAGCTTCGAACCAATCACTTTCCACCTGATTAACAACGACGTACGAAATGTTTTATGCATTTTAATCTTTGAATTAATTAGCAACGTTAAAACAGTTTTAATAAAACAAAAAACAAATTGGCAGTTTGAATTCTGCAACAAAATATGACATGAAAATAACTTTTTATTTTACTTATTTTATA